GTTGCAGTTGATCCTGAAACCTCCTAGCAGGAATGTTCAGCAAAGTGCTTACGGAGACAGGGCAACTCTGCGGGGACGCCAGGTAGCCCTAACACTGGGGGAGCAAGCCGGCCAGACTTGAACTCTGGATTTGTCCTCCTCGCCGTCCTGCAATACCAGAGTCCTCGGAGATGCTCGTGGTGACCCATGAGCAAGGAAGGTGGCGGCCACCCTGAGGCTGGAGCCCCGCCTCCCGACCTCTGGCACACGGCTGCCGCGAGGACACACGAGCCATCGGAAGCCTCTGGGCTCGTACACACAGCTGCTCATACGGGTACCCTGGCATCATTAGAATACAGAAAGCTGGAGGCCCCTACAGTCCAGACGGCACATGGGCTACACCTTCCTCTCCTCTCCCCCTCTCCCCCCTTCAAAGCCAAAACGCTGGGGGAGGACCCGGCTCCTGTTCTCTCCCGCAGCACAGCCAGGCCATCCGCACCGCCTCTGACCACTTTCCAGCTGGACCCAGAATGAACCCCTCCAGCAGCCTCCCCGTCCCCAGAGGCGAGGCTGGTCTCCCTGCTCTGGCCCTTGGTCCCCACAGTCTCCTCTCCATCCTGTTCCCAAAGTGATTTTTCTAAAATGCAAGTCAGTTCCCGACGCTCCTCTGCCAGGAACCTCCCCTTGCCCCCGTGCCACTCAGAGCCAAAGCCCTCACGAAGCCTTCGCCACGATAACAAGTCACACGGCCGCCCCGTGGCAGCCATACTGGGCACCTCCTGAGCCAGCTTTGACCCTGGAAGTCACCGCTCCCTCCCTCCCCTCCCGAGTCTGGGCTCAAAGGTCACCTTCTCAGACAAGTCCTCCTCCTCCCGCCCTGCTTTACTTTCCCCGCAGCACATGCTGGGACGACATGTGTTATATTTTCCCATTTCTTGTCTTCCCCCCTCGCTAGAGTACAAGCCCCCCAAAGGCAGGGGCGCGGCAGTTCGGTTCCCTGCTGACCAGCACGCGGCGCCGTGCCCGGCACACAGTGGGCCGGTGCATGTCAAACAGACCCACGTTTTAGAGAAAAATCGGTAACATGGGAAATGTCAATATTGGAATAAGTGACAGGCAGCTGCAGGGGAGACTGTGCGAGGGACCTGAGGAGGGGCCGGGAGGCTGGGATGAGGAAGCCCAGTCCTCTGTCATCTCAGCGAGACGGGAGGGAGGTTTACAGCTGGAGGAACAACCAATCACAGTGAGCGTGCTGGGAGCAGCCATGGACGTGGGGAGCCCATCAAGTGGTCTTGGCGTTTAAATCTTTTGCAACAATTCAATTTTTTAATTTTCATGTGGGCATATATTACTTTGATACAGTGTTAAAAAAGGAGTCTTTCAGGAGTCAGGAAAACCTCCCCAAGACCCCAAGTTCAACAGTGTGTACAGCCTGTCCTTGTTCCCCCCAAAGGATGTTTGTATAGAAGACAGGATTGGAAGTAAATATACCAAATGCTAACACAGCTTGTTCCCTACCAGTGGCTTTAATCCGCTTCTCATTATATGCATATTCTAAATCGTGTATAATGGACATAAATGACTTCTGCAAACATTAGTTTAAACCACATGAAATTGGCAATTTTCAACCACTTATGACTCTTAGGAATGGTGACTTTATATGATTTAACCCAACAGAAAAGACACTTTAAAGAATATGTGGTTACTTTTAAGGTCAATAAAAGTATTCCTGTCCTTTGACCCCAGTTATTCTATTTCTTGGGGTTGTTTTTTTTTTTAGAAAAGAAGCCAAAATGTGGATACAGAATTACACAGAAAGTGTTTACTATACAGTAAATTACAGTGGCAAAAGCGGGGGAAAAAAATCTAAATGCTTTTGTAAAAATAGAGTCGTCAAAGGAATCTTATCTGGACACTTCAAATGCTATTTGGAAGACCTTTAAGTGACACGGTGCAATTTAATGTATGGGGACAGAAAACAAGATGCCTGGTTCTATGGACCGTGTCATCTCCTCGACATGAAAAGTGTACTGTGTCTGCACACCCACGTTCACAGCAGCGCCACGTGGGCGGACCAAGAGACACACAACATGTGGTCTGTGCACACACGGACTGGTCTCAGCCTCAAACAGGAAGGGAGCCCCGGCATCCGCTGTGCTCAGTGACAGAAGCCAGTCACAGGCCAGTACTGCGTGGCTCCACTTACATGAGGTCCCTGGAGGAGAAAGGATGGTGGTGGGCCCAAGGCCAGGGGAGAAACATGGGGAGCTCGTGGCTGGTGGGCAGAGCTCCAGGTCTGCGGGGTGAGGACGTTCTGGGGGTGCACACGGGCACAGCAATGCGCTCCATGCCGCTGGGCTGCAGAGGGTGAGGGTGGTAACATTCATGTCATGTGTCTTTTGCCACAATAATAATAATAATAATAATAATAATAATAATAATGATAATAAAAATGGGGGAAATGCATTATAAAAGACGAAAACAGCTTCCAAGACTGTGAGGCACATGGAAGGAACTTCAGCCCTGAAGCTGAACCTGCCTGGTGTCCACTCGCGGCTGAGCGGCTGGGCCGGCACCTGACTGCGGAGCCTGTCCTTTCGCCCGTGAAGTGGACCCTGTCCCTCCCTCAGCGGGACGACGAGGGGAGGACATGCTCAGGAAGGGCCGGAGCTCAGCAGCTCCCTTGCTAGACGGCCGCGGCGGTCGTTCTCGTCATCACACCATCATCACAGGGCTGGGATCGCTGGGTTCTTTTTTATACGTTCATGTATTTTGCAAAATTCCTCAGTGGATATGTTTTTTTTTTAAAAAATCGGAACAAAGTATAATTCACACTGAAAATAACGAGGGTCACGATAAACAGAGAGAAAAGCCAACTCGCAGACCAGGAGAAGGTGTTTGCAACTCACTTATCGACGAAGGGTTGGAACCCTTTCCGGGTCTTTGCGGACGGCGACGTCTGAGTGACCGATGACACCTGAGAATGTTCGGCCTTACTGACCTTCAGGTTGGCAGAAATGAAAAGGCCTGATCGTACCACGGTTAGCAGGGATGGGGGTGGCGGCAGGAAGTCCCACGCGAGGCGGGTGGTGCGCGTGCTGACGGGTGCCCCCACCAGGCCACATCTGGGAAGTGCGCCGTGCCCACCCCATCCCTCGGATCCATGCAGAGGAACCCAGTGAGGGTGCAGGACACAGCCACAGGGTTGACTGGTGCTTTGCTTGTAACAGAGGAAACCACATACAACCTACATGCTCCTGAACAGGAGGAACGTAACCAGCAGAGCGATGTTTAACAGAATGTATTCATCGAATAGACTGACTTTATAGCAGCGTGAGTGAATGAACTAAAGCCAATGTAACAACATGGATAAGCCTTAAACACATGATATTAAACAAGAAAAAAATAAGCACAGAACACAAAATTCTATATAATACCATATACATAAACTGTTGTAGGGTTTTTTTATCCTGACCCGAGAATATGTTTCCATTTATCTTCAGATAGAGTGGGAGGGAGAGAGAGAAACATCGATGTGAGAGAGAGACATCGAGTGGCTGCCTCCTGCACGACCCCACCAGGGCTGAGGACGAACCGCAACCAAGGTAGGACCGGAATCGAACCTGCGACTCTGGTCCACGGGCCAACGCACTAACCGCTGAGCAAAACTGGTGAGGGCCATGCACATAAAGTTGTAAAACACACTACACAACAGTATACATTGTTTAGGAATTACCATCTAAATGGCGAAGATGAAAAAAAATCACAGCTCCAGAGGAGAACACAGCATTTAGGGGCCTGGAGCCGGGGGCCCGACTTCTCGGGTTTGCCAACCAGCCATCCCACCCTCCGGGGGTGACTGTGGACAGGTTACTTCATGTGTCTGTGCCCAGCGTCCTCGTCTATAAAGGGGTATTTCCAGCAGGTACTCGTAGCGATGTCAAAGGGTTACGGGAGTGAATGTCTACGAAGGGGGGAACCGTGCCCGGCACGCGGGAAGCGCTAGGCAGGGCTTGCTGCTGTTATTAGAATGAACCTCAAACCTCAAAACCCTTCCCGCGGCAGTGGTCTCCTCTCCAAGAACCCGTGCTGGGTAAGCGAGCGAGGGTCTCCCCACTAGGTGCTCCTGTATGTGAAAGCGTGCAGTTGGGGACGGCCTAGCGCCCCGCTCCAGGGGACAGTTAAATGCATCCCAGGAAAGCTGTTGTGACCAAGCGGCTGCATTCTTTGGGATGTTTCACGTGTGTCTGTGCTCACTCAGAGGAGAATGGCGATCAAAGAAATCTGCTGGTTACATTGTAACTGTTTCTAATGTTTTTTTTTTTTTTTTTTTTTTTTTTTTTTTTTTTTGTGGTACGTGCCCCTAGCGGGAACTGAACCTGGTACTCTCTGGTCCGCAGGCCTACGCTCAACCGCTGAGCCAAACTGGCCAGGGCACATTGTAACTGTTTCTAATAACAGTGGCCAAGAAACACCTAAGAATATACAGCTAGTACAGCCAGAAAAGCAGTCCTGAGGAAGAAATACAAACCCACCTCCTCCAGGAAGCCCTCCCTGACTTCCCCTGGGAGCTGCTGAGTATACATCTGTTAAAGCCCACTATCTCCACTATCTCCACCCCAGGACTGACTGATACATGGCCGAGGGCCCGGCACATAGTGGGTCCTCCACAAATGCCTCCCAAGTGGGTCCCAGGTCCTTCACTGCCACCCACGGCCATCTTCGGGGGTCTGAGATTCCCGAGCACTCTAAACCAACCAGACAAAAGCAAGCTCCCAAGCTTCTTTGAAAATAAAATAACAACTTTCAAATAAAGTAAAAGATACATATTTACCTTCTCATACTCTACATGGAGTTTATACCAAATTTTCATTTAGAATGAGCTAAGTACACGAGCTGTTTGCCAACTTATCTGACTTTATCTGCCAACTTATCTGGTTTTAATCAATTATCCGTTTTACAAAAAAATAACTTGAGCCCTTTTTCAAAAAGAGGTGCGTACGTGCTGTGGGCCTCCTTACCTCTTCACGGAAACCGCTGACGTTCTGGAGGAAATACTTCCAGTTTATAGAGGGAGTCAGATGAAGTCTTAGTTTCCTCAGAAAATAGTGGTACTGGTTATCCGTTAGTTTGTAACAGAAATCCTTAAGAACTTCTCCGAAATCCGAAGCAGTCACAAACCCAGTGTCCTCTTTATCCACCGCAGAAAACGCCTACCAAGGGGGAAAAAAAAAAGCAGCTGTGACTGTCGAGTGAATATTTCAAAAATATTTTTCTTAAGTATTTCTCCTGCTGAAAGCAAAGGCAACCAAGTGTATGCAAGTGCCCTGTACCTTCTGAAAGACTAAATAAATGCACCACGATCGAGACAGACAGGTGAGGTGTGCTCACGGCGTAAGAATCTACCTGTCATGGGGAACTCGCCTTAGTCTCTCCTATTTGGACACGAACTGGAGTGAAGAAGAACCTGACCCCAGTCACTGGCCCAAAGTCTCTCCATCATTAAATTCCAGCTCCTTTGAGCACAGTCACCTGTGACAGGAGGCTCGGGGGAATCCCACTGTGTCCAGGGGTGGGGCAGGGTCTCCAGGTAGGAGTCTTACATCACAATGGACCAGGAGGAGGAGTCAAGGGACCACCCAGCCCATTACCCCCAGCCAGAGGCTGCTACAGGGAGGCTGCTGCCCTTTCCCCACGGCAGCCAAGCCATGCCCTCGCCAAATGGGAGGACCCCCACCGCCTGGTGCCTGGGCTGCAGGGGCCAGGCAGGCAGTGCCAACCCAGCAGTCAAACTGAAAAAGTGCAAAAATATGCTATAAAAAGAAAGCCCTTTTTTTTTTTTTCCATCTGTCGAAACAAAATCACTCATTTTCAGTGCACTAGGGAATCTGTATCAAGTAGTAGGTTAGGAATCTATCTATCTATCTATCTATCTATATCTATCTATATATATATTTTATCCTCACCCGAGGACATTCCTCCATTTTTGTTCAGGTAGAGTGGGAGGAAGAGAGAGAGAAACATTGATGTGAAAGGGACACATCGAGTGGCTGCCACCCGCACGACCCCAACCAGGGCCGCGGACAAACTGCAACCAAGGTACGTGCCCTTAGTGGGAACCGAACCCGGGTCTCTCTGGACCGCAGGCCAACGCTCTAACCACTGAGCCAAACTGGCCAGGGCAAGATCTTACTTTTTAAAAGTAAGAATTCAATGTGCGTGCAAATCCCAAACCAAATTCCCTGGCAGTTAATTCTCATTCAGAGATAATTAGGCATGCCCCATTAGCCGGCAGGTGTGTTATGTGTGTATCAAATTAACCTTACATGCTGTGTAACTTTAAATCTGTTTTTAGATTGTGGTGGTACCAGGTGGTTGGGTAGAGTGGAAACACCGCTGGCCACAGGTCAGGAAGCAGATTTGAACCCTGGCTCTACTGCCCTGACCCTCTCTGAGCTCAGCTTCTTCCACAGAGAATGAGGGCTCACCGCTCATGCTGTTCTCGGTCTACCAGGCACCCTGAACGTGCACCTGTGCGGGGCTGTGCATCTGCGCGAAGGAGAATGATGTAAAGATAAGCAGTCGCCCTGGCCGGTTTGGCTCAGCGGTTAGAGTGTCGACCTGTGGTCCAGAGAGACCTGGGTTCGGTTCCCGCTAAGGGCACGTACCTCGGTTGCAGTTTGTCCCCAGCCCTGGTTGGGTCGTGCGGGTGGCAACCACTCGATGTGTCCCTTTCATGTTGATGCTTCTCTCTCTCTCCCTCCCTCTCTATCTGAACAAAAAATGGAAAAATGTCCTCGGGTGAGGATTGAAAAAAAAAGAGCAGTCGACTGAGCACTTTGTGTTCTGAGGGTGCCGGAAGGCATTGCGGCTGTGGAATGAGCCTCATGAGCTCAGGGGACCTGAGAGGTGACCTTAGGTCTGCAAGTGCTGCGTCTGTGTGGCTTTCCCTGTGTCAACTCAGCCGGCCAAGCCCCAGGACGAGTGGAAGAATCAAACGAGGAACAGAAATCCATAAAACTCGACATGAAAATAAGGTATCATTATGTCATTTCAGAAACAAGATGCCCCCGGCCAGTGTGGCTCAGCGGTGGAACATCGGCCCCTGCACCAAGAGGTCACAGGATCAATGCCCAGCCAGGGCACATGCCCAGGCTGTGGGTCTGATCCCCAGTGGGATCCTGCAGGAGCCGGCCAATCAATATTCTCTCTCATTGATGTTTCTATCTCTCTCTCCCTCTTCCTTCCTCTCTCTCTAAAAATAAATGGAGAAAACAAAAAAACAACAACAAAAACAAACCTCCTCACCTAAGGACATTTTCTCGGAAGTGAGAGCCAGGCTGCCTCCCAAAGGTTCCACGGGCCTCAGTTTGAGAAACGTCCTGATAGGTGCTCAGTGTAAGTTAGAAGGGGGCAAAGCCATCCTGAAAACGGGTTATTTGGCCTGCGGGGCTGTGGAAATCGGAGCAAGGAAGCGATCAGCAGTGCTGGGCCTGTTTCCAGCTCAGCCACAGCCGGCCAGGGCCGGGGAGAAGCTGCCCTTCCCACGGCGCTGTGTCTGGCGTGGCCCGGCCTGGCCCCGTGCACGCCGAGTGTGCAGGCCACGGGCAGGGCGGTCCCGAGCACGGGCTCTGGTGCTGAGGTGTAGGGGGTTTTCTGGTTCATACTAATCTTTCTTCAGATAATCAGTGAAATAAAGACAAATATGTTAACTCCTCAGAGAATTCCTACATGCAGCAAGGTCAGCTCTCCAAGATAAAGGCCAAGGTGCGGGCATCGCTCACAAGCCGGCCGGGCTGCCGCCTGTCCTGGCCCGAGCTTCCGCCGGCCGCGCTGCAGAGCCTGGCCGCCTGCACCGACAGGCCCCTCCCTCCGGGCACCCGGCGAGCGTGCCTGGGTTCCCGAGAGGGTCTGCGAGTCCGCATGCGTGGATGTGCCGTGGGGCAGTGTGTGGTCGCGTGGCAGCCTTGCGTCCCCGGCTCAGACCGCACGGCCTGCCTTCTGCAGACAGCGTTTTCTCTTCCTGCTGCTGCTACAAGGGGAGACTCGTGTGGACCAGTCCAGGGACCATGACCTCACCGGGAACAGGGCCAGAGTCGTCGTCTGAGGACTCCGACGCAGTCCACAGCATCATGCCCACATATACCAGGTCTCGGCGTGTTCTGCGCAGGGTGGGGAACCTTTTTGCTGCCGAGGGCCATTTGGGTCTTTATAACATCATTTGTGGGCCATACAGTATTATCAGCTGAAAAATTGGCCTGCTGTATTTGGTCAGGCTAATTTGGTGAGCTGTGTAGCTGGTGTGGATTTCACAGGGCCTTATACAGCCCGCGGGCCGGACATTCCCACCCCTGCCTACGGTGTCACACAGACGTTAGCCTACATGTCAGTGTATGAGGGGTGTCCCTCCTCGCACCCTCCCCTGGCTCCTGGCAGTCGTCACAACGAGTCTGTGGCCCAGCCCAGCCTGGTCAGCCTCTTCACGCCAGCTGACGTCACTCATCTCCACGGGCCGGGGCGGAGCCCATTCTCACCCGGGGGCCTCTGCCCTCTTTGCCTGGAACCCCTTGCCCTGGCCCCAGACCCAGTGTTTGCTAACCATGGAGCACTTTCCCCTCAGAGAACGTGTGCTGGGGGCAACGCGGAAGCTTTTTATAGAGCACAAATGGACAGACATTGGCTCCAGTGAGCAACAGGATCTTGACCAGCTCCTCCGAGTTCTGACTCCCAGGGAGCGTGGGGAGGGGCCGGAGCGCCCCGGGGAGGGGCAGGGCGGGCGGCCGGTCCTCCCGACGGCCGAGGGGCCCGGGGCTTTAGTTCCAGAGCAGAGCACTCTGCAGTCGGCCGTACCTCTGACAAAGCCAGACCAGAGGAGGCCACGACTTGCTGGACGCTCTTCAGAACCTCCTCTGCACCGAGCTTTGCAAAGTCGATCGGCTCAGGTCCTGATGGCTGGCTGTTCTCCACCGCTCTCAACAAGTCAAGGTAATTGATGGAATCATTTTGCCAGCTGATTCCCCAACTTGTCCCCAAAGGAAAAAAAAAATATATTAATTTAAAAAACACTATCACGTATCCCTTCAACACACCCTTGCTGAGCACAGAACGGTGTGGAGACTATGAAAGATGGAGACACTGCCCCTGGCCTGCGGGGGCGTGCACACCAGTTAGCCACGACCCTGCAGGGCACGCAGAGCCTGTGACATGGGGGCAGGGAAGGGTCGGAGGGTGACTGCGGGGCCACAGCCGGCTGGTGAGGACACAGCATGTCCTGATGGAAGCTCTGAGACTCGAAGGCTGGACACTAGGGCTCAAGTCTGAGAGCAGAAGATGGAAGAGGAGGCCCGGCCAAGGAACCTGGTCCCCGGGGGAGTGGAGAGGCTGCGGCAGGGACACGACCTTGGCAGCCGTATTCCAGGGCCGTACATAGCGAGGGCCTGTCCCGAGTAGCAGCAGGGGAATTCGAAAACAAGGGAAATACATCAGAGACAGCGGAAAGGAAGACAGGAACCGAGTAAAACACACGATCACTTTTTTTACAAGAATGGCCGACACGAAGTCATCAGGCTGAAAACACTTGCAAGGCATTTTCACAAAACCGACTTAGCTTAGTATTTCCTCAAGCAAACACTCCGTCAGCGTACGCATGTCAGCAGGACCCCCACGTAGAAACACAGGCCCCTGCCCGCCCTCGACTCCAACACGGAGGTACCTTTAGATCCTGGAAGAATATATCGTGAGAGAAAGTCCAAAGACCTTGTGAGAGCACAAAGCAAGTTGATTAAAGGTGCAGAATAATTCGAAGTAAAGTTCACCTGCACTCGAAGCTCACAGCTCTGTAACCGAAGTGCTCGGTGCGCCCCTGGCGCTCAGCACCTAAACTTGCCGCAGGAAGGAGTGTGTCGCAGACGGAGTGTGTCGCAGACGGAGTGTGTCGCAGACGGAGGGCTCGGAACCCTGGTGAGCTGGACAGGGAAGCTCCCGGGGACTCAGGCCTCTGCTTCTGAGCAGCACGAGCCAGAGGGGCGCTCTCCACCCACAGCTGCGGCGCGGCCTGCCCGGGCCCACAGCGCTGGCTCGCGTGCCAGCGACACGGGGGGAAGGATAATCAGCTGTTTCATCAGCAGGATGAACTGCCAACTTGGTATTAAAATTTAGTAATAAAATCAAATGCATATGCTAATCTCCTCAGTATTCTTTAGAAGAGTCTATTTTGGATCCAGAAAAGAATAATTTACATATGATTACAAATAACAGAGATGTGCATCATCAAGGGGTCTTTGAGAAGAAACAAGCGAGGGAGCGATGGGTCCTTATTAAGGTTTCAATTCGTGAGAAAGTTGATCACCCCCATTGAAAGGTGGACTGTGAAAATTTCCATAGTCTTTTTGTTGTAGCTTATAAAAGTACCAAGATTAACAATGTTTTAAAAGACTCTCATATAATCATTTAGTTAATGATTTATCTGGTGCTATTTTTCAGTGATTTATTCTTTGAATGCATATAAATTCTTGTTCAGCTGGAATAGACTTAGTGACAGGAGACCCTGTTTAAGGGAGAACACATAGGCATTTGAAGATGAAATGCTCCTCCTTCTCTCTAGACACACACACCCACGCACACACACGTACACACACAGTAGCATGGGGCTTCTCACAGCTTGAACACAGTGGAGCAATGTCTTTATTTTTTTTATTTTTTATTTTTATTTTTTATCCTCACCCGAGGACATTTTTCCATTTTTTGTTCAGGTAGAGTGGGAGGGAGAGAGAGGAACAGAGAGAGAGAGAGAAACATCGATGTGAAAGGGACACATCGAGTGGCTGCCACCCGCACAACCGACCAGGGCCGGGGACAAACTGCAACCGAGGTACGTGCCCTTAGTGGGAACCGAACCCGGGTCTCTCAGGACCGCAGGCTGACGCTCTAACCGCTGAACCAAACCGGCCAGGGTGCAATGTCTTTATTTTTAAGGGAAAATAATTTTCTCCTTAGGATTCTATGTTCAGAAAAGCTATCAATCGGTGTAAAAGAGAAAAATTTTTTTAGACAACCAAACTCAGAAAATTTACTTCTTGTCCATTCTTTCTTAGAAAATTACTTCAGGAAGTACTCCAGCAAAATAAGAATGTGAATTAAGAAATAAAAAGATGTACCCTGGCCGGTTTGGCTCAGCGGTTAGAGCGGTGGCCTGTGGGCCAGAGAGACTGGGTTCTGTTCCCACTAGAGTCACGTACCTCAGTTGCAGTTTGTCCCCGGCCCTGGGTGGGTCGTGTGGGTGGCAGCCACTTGATGTGTCCCTTTCATGTCGATGTTTCTCTCTCTCTCCCTTCCACTCTATCTGAACAAAAAATGGAAAAATGTCCTCAAGTGAGGATAAAAAAAATTAAAAAAGAAATATAAAGATGTGAAAGGTTGGGCAGGGGAGATCCAACCCAGGAGAAGACTGGGGCAGAGCAGGGTGCTCCTGGGCAGCAGACCGGGGGCAGGAGAACGGGACCAGGCTCTAGGATGGAGGGCTCCGGGAAAGGCCCCGAGAGAATAGCGAGTGGGACCGAACGCTGGGGAAAGCTGAACACTGACAACACTGAACTCTGCCTGGGCCCTGTGCTCCTCAAAACCAGTGCTGGTTAGAGAAATCACCCTCTTTATGTCCTTGGAAATGGCTTACAGCAAAGAACCACGTTTTCCCCATACGATTTAGGAAAGACACATAGGTTTGCCCATGACAAGGTGGACACCGCCCTCTAAATTCCTTTTCTTATAAATGACTAGCTGAACATTTTTTACTTACTGACCAATCTGGACAGAATATCTGCCGGCTTGACTTAACCAAACTTCAACTAAGCTTCCCTCCTTCCCTCACACCCCCAAATTTTGACCACCCTCAGCCTGAGCCAGTATCAGAGTGTGGACCGGCCCCTCCTAATGGCTCCTCCCGAGACTCTGACCAGAAAGAAAGACATTTCCTGCCACACTGTCTGATCACACTACCCTCACTCTCGCTCCTCCATACACGGCTCTTTATTCTCCCGACACAAGCCCGTCTCTGCCTAAGCTCTGAGGTGCTGCCGGCTTCGTGGTCAGAACATCTTCCCTATGGCATGGCCCCTCCTCATAACAATAGTCCCCCTTCCCTACTGCGATAGTCTTTTCAAATGAAGTCTCTCTTTACTAAACCTGAATTTGTCTTTATTTGACAAGGTAAATTATGCAAGAAAAACAAAAAAGAAATTTAGAAATTCTAGGAAACAAGCAACCTATCAATAAAATCATTGTATAAATATGAAGCAAATGTAATAACAATGAGTTTCAATGGAAACAGTTGTAAAACATAGACTCTATTTAAGGAGGAGCTCCTAGGGAAGCCACCCCAAAAACAGAAGTGATAAGAACAAAGATGCTGGAGGAAACAGAGAGCTATCATTAAATACAACCCAGCTCCTACCCAAATTAACACAAAACCACACACTAAATGCATGAGAACCAGATTCAGACATGACACATGTTTTGGAATTACCAGACAGGAAATTTAAATGAACTATGATTAATATATAAAGGGCTTTAATGGAAAATGCAGACAACACGCAAGAACAAATGGATGATGTAAGCAGAGAGGTGAAAACGCTAAGAAAGCATCAAAAGCAAATGCTGAAAATAAAAAGCACTGTAACAGAAATGAAGAATGTCCTTGATGGGTTCATCAGTAGACTGGACATGGTTGAGGTGAACAAATCACTGAGCTTGCCCAGCCTGAGTGGCTCAGTTGGTTGAGAGTTGTCTCATGCACCAAAAGAAAGGCAACCAATCAATGCTTCTCTTTTACATCGCTCTCTCTCTCTCTCTCTCTCGGCATGTCGTTGGGTGAGAATTAAAAAAAAAAAATAATCACTGAGCTTAAAATATGTCAATAAAAATTTCCCAAACTAAATTCAGAGAAAAAAACAACAAAACAGAAACAACAGAATATCCAAACATTGTGGAACAATTTCAAAAAGTGTAACATCCACACAATTAGAATGCCAGCAGGAAAAAAAAAGAAAAGAAAAGAAAGAACATTTGAAGTAATAATGGCAAAGAATTTTCCAAAATTAATGAGACACAAAGCACAGATCCAGGAAGCTCAGAGACCACCAAGCAAGATAAATACCAAAAAACCAACACCTAGGTTTTTGCATCACTATCATATTCTGATGCTAGAAAACTGGGCCTGGCTGGTTTGGTTCAGCAGTTAGTGTGTCAGTTCATGAACTGAGGGTCTTGGGTTCAATCCCCAGTCAAGAGCATGTGCCTGGGCTGCAGGTTTGATCCTTGGCCCCGGTAGGGGTTGTGCAGGAGGTAACTGATTGATGTGTCTCTTTCACATTGATGTTTCTTTCTCTTTCTCTCCCTCACTTCCTTCCAAACTATCTAAAAAAGAAATCAGTGGAAAAATATCATCAGTAAAGATTAACAAAAAACAAATATATATATATATATATATATATATATATATATATATATATATAATCAATTAATTAATTAACTGTAGAGAACTAAAAATAACAAGAAAATCTTGAAAGAAGGCAGAGGGAGGGAAAACCTTATCTATCAAAGAACAAAGATAAGAATTACATGGTACTTCTCATCAGAAATCATGCCAACAAGAAAAGAGGGGACTGACATATTCAAAGTGTTCAAAGAAAAAAAATCACCAACCTAGAATTCTACATCTAGTGAAACTATCCTTTAGAAGTGAAGGAGAAATTAAGACTATTTCAGACAAACAAAAACTACAGGAATTCATCACCAGCTGCCCCGCCCCTCAAGAAATGCTAGCAGACATTCTTCAGAGAGAAGGAAAGTCACGGAGGTCAGAAACTCAGAGCCACAGAAAGAAAGGAAGAGTATCAGAGAAGGAATAAATGAAGGTAAAACATCTTTTACTTTTCTAACTCTCAGTTGACCTAACAGATATTTGTTCAAAGTAATAACGTATTGAGTGATTGCAGCTTGTTGATAAGTGAGGTGAATGGCATCGCTGTCACAGGGACAGGAGAAAGGATTTGGAATATTCTGTTACAGGCCCCTGCACTACCCATCAACTGGTATCGTGTTATTTGAAACTGGACTTTATTTACTTGTTCATGCATGTTGCAAACTTTAGAGCAACCATGAAGAGAAAGAGAGTTCACAAGTGGAGTGAGCTAGGGGTTTAATTACTTAAAATAATTACATGGAAACAAAACAAACAGAAAAAAATAAGATTAATATTAACTTCAGGGAAAATAAAATGTTCCATTTAAAAGGAGAAGTGATCAGCTAGTCACAATGCAAACCCTGACTATTATCTGCCCCAAACCGAGACACCGCACTGTGGGGAAGGTAACATCTGTGGAGATATGTTTCCGTGTGTTTCTGTGGGGTAAGATAGTTGGTGGCATGTGATGGGTGAAAATGAGTTAAATTTGAATGAAAATGAGTTAAATCCACATCGTCCTGGTTGGAAGCCAATAGACACAGCCTAACAGCAAAAATTCAAGAAGTAGCTATATAACTTGTCACTTAGAAATACGAAGCGAAGTACCAAAAGCAGTCACTTAAAGGCACTGAAAGTTGTCGACTCTGGGGAGGGGACATGAGGATCTGGCCCCGTTGGGCTCTCTGGCTCCGGCCAAAATGTACGCGTGCCACGGGTAACATGAAAACGAAAGTTAGGACATGCTGGGCTGCTGAGACACTTCAGGGAATGTTGTGCCTCTAAGTTGCTTTTTCTTTTGGCTTTGAGTTGACTCAAGCCCATTATAATGTCACCCGGCCAAGGGAAGATGTGGAGGTTATTTCAAGGTCAACAGTCTGGACAGACCACAAGAAATGAAAGCCACGCGCCCACTCGCTCTTTGGCCTGGGAGACACACTGCCAACTCGGCGAGAGCAAACCTGCCCAGGAGCTCGGTCAGCTCGTCTTCCTGGAGGGGACAGCCGCCTTCCTGCAGCGCCCTCTGCACCTGGCCCAGGGACACGGAGCCGCTTCTGCATTTGTCCAGTCTGAGCAGCGCTTCCCTGATGTCTTGATAGTGGTCCTTAAGCTCGTGCCTGGAAGAGAATACATGTTAGACACACACTGAAATCAGGAAAACAGGTCCTTTCCTTCAAGCAAGAGTTTCACAATCACTTTAATTCGACGATTTGCTGATCCGTCTAAGAACTGATTCTGAAGATGTGCCGCAGCCTTGGTGTGACGTGTACATCGAAAGGGATTCTGAAGAATGACGACTGTAAGTCTGCATCGCTGTTGTTTTATTATCATCATGAGCAAAACTGCACTAGAGCAGTTACAACCTTGTCTTTACACGACAATTGGCGCTTTAAGAACGGGACCAGGAATGAAAAGGTACAGTGGTTTTTGTTTTTTAAATCCTCACCTGAGGATACTTTTCCATCTTCAGACAGAGAGAGAGAGGGAGAGAGAGAGAGAGAAAGAAACACAGACATCGACGTGAGAGACACATCGATTGGCTGCCTCCCCCACAACCCGACCAGGGCCAGGGACCAAACTGCAACTGAGGTACGTGCCCGTGTCAGGAATCGAACCCGCGACTCATTGATCTGCAGGCTGACGCTCTAACTGCTGAGCCAAACTGGCCAGGGCGGTACAGTGAGTTTTATTACAGATGTGATAGTGTCCCCATGGAGATTCTCTGGGCACCTACTGAGCATCGGGAACTGCGCTGGGTGTCAGGAGACATCTAGTGCCTCCAGCTGGCCCCCAGGAGTCACCGGCCACCGGGCAGGGCTGGCAGGGCACAGAAAGCATCTGTGCCCCGTACAGGGGGTTAGGGGGTTAGGGGAGCAGTGAGCAGCGCTGGGAATGGCCACTGTGGGAGAGGCTGCAATTCCAGGAGGGAGGTGTGGCTGGCATCACTGGGAAGGTGCCCCAGGAGCAAGGCTGAGAGGTGAAGGGGTCAGCAGGCAGCCACCCCAGACCAGTTGTCCTGGGGCCCGGGGACAGCCAGCACCAAGGCCCCAAGCAGCAGAGCTGGCGAGGGGAGGAGGGAGGGCGGAGGGGCACAGTCAGTGTCCGCAGAGGCAGGGGCCAGGGACCCCTGTTTTTTACCAGGTACCCTGTTGTTAGGAAACAGCTGCCATTTGTGCTCCTCAGATGGCAAGCCGGGGGCTCTTCGGGACCTTCTCCCATTTGTCCCTCTCAACAGCCCTGCAAGGGGGGTGGGTGGAGACCACCCCCACTGGAGAGACCAGGAACACGACAGGGCCAGCCAGGCCTCGCCCTCGCGGGGACACAGATGGCGTCCAGCCACGCTCCCGCTAGAGGGCTGATTTGCAGAATGTGTTCAAGTTGCTGATTGCACTTTTCAGGAAAATTCCTCCCTGACCAAAGAAAGGTATTAAGGGACGAGAACGAGTGTGGACATCTTTCAGAATGGACAGTCTTGCATCTGACCCGTGGCGGGTCAATGACGAATCCCAGGACCTTGGCCGGCCCGTCTCTAAACGAGCTCTTCCTACCACGCTGCGCAATGAGCTGTCCGACCGGCAGGCCGTGCGGCTCTGCCTCGGAGAAGGGGAGACGCAGAAACTGTGAACACAAAACCTTTGCTGGCACTCGCCCATCCCTCAGATGTCTGTGGAGGGGACAGTTCGCTGCGTGTGCCCGGGAGGAATCGTTCGTGGGAACAGGAAGCCAGAAACCCAGCAGGGGGCTGCAGAGGGGCGTATCCGGGGAGGGCACTTGGCGGGCCATCTGCCTCCCCCTTCTGGCCTCCGGTGGGGACCTGGCTGACACCTGATACGAGGAGTGACAGTGGCTCCCCGTAACTATGCCAACAGCAGCGACAGCTGGGCTCCCTTACAGGTGTACGCTGAATCCCGTCCCAGGTTACAAAACGCTCACTCATCATGACAGCTGTCACATTCCACATTCAAGACGAAAGCAAACACAGGTATAAAACCACCCAAGCGTTTCTAGAGGTGCGGTTTTAGAACGTTGAGGCATTGGTGTTCCTTGGCCCAGGTTCTAGGCTGTAACCCTCCCCTTGCAGAGTGCGTGGGAGCACCGAGCACGAGCTCAGGGCACAGGTCACGGCAGAGCAGAGCAGAACCGGTGTGAGCTGGCACGCGGGACGAGCAGCTGCTGCCCTGGTTCAATTCCCGGTCTGACAGCGACACAGAAGCCAGTGGACCGGCCACACAGCCCCTCCCACTCAGCCCCCCTCCTCGGCTCTCAAACCAGGCCCGGCTTAGGTGGCCGGGTCCCTGTGGCTGCCCTGACTTCGAGTCTTCAACTCAGACTCAGGCAACAAAAAGAGCTAGACATGGAAAATTAATGAGTTTCAAAGAGGAGTTTTCATTAAAAAAATCATGTATTGCCCGGCCAGTGTGGCTCAGTGGTTGAGGGTCGACCCATGCATCAAGAGGTCGCTGGTTCGATTCCGGGTCAGGGCACATGCCCAGGTTGTGGGCCCGATCCCCAGTGGGGGGCGTGCAGGAGGTGGCCAATCAGTGTTCTCTCTCATCAATGTTTCTCTCTCTCCCTTCCTCTCTTTCTAAAAATCAATAAAGAAAAAAAATTTTTTTAAACAAAAAATCATGTATTTAGGGCGTTCCTAAATTGAACGTGACTCCCCTCTGTCAATCTTATCCGAGTTTCACCGAAGCGAGGAGGCAAAGCACCCTGGACACACTGGGTCCTAAGGGTTATCGGGGAGACCCTCCGACAGGGAAATTGAACAGCGGGCCATCTGCAGGGCCAGCTTACCCGGCAGTTTCACAACCGGCGTCTTTGAGACACAGAAGCGGCCGAGCGTTTCCAGGTGGCTGGGCTTGTCTTGGCGAGAGAGGGTGGCCCTGCGAAGAGGGCCAGGGGCCGGGACAGAGGACGGAGCTCGGAGACCAGACGCGGCGTCTGATGGCCCGAGCTGCCTCCCAGCCACAGCTCCCCAGCCGGCAGGCAGGAAGGCAGGGGCAGGGGCGTCCTGCGCGAGCTGAGGGCGGGGCTTCTGCCCACAGCCTCATCACTCCCCGGGCAGGAGGACGGCGAGGAAAGACGCCAGTGGGTCATGAGGCCAGCCCTGTCTGACGAAGACAGGCTGCACGTTTTCATGCGCTCCCCGGCACGTCTGATTCACACCAATCGTGCGCCCATTTCTACTTCATGTTTCACAGACTCCATCACCCGCTGAGCGCGACACCGTGCAGAGGTGTGCTCAGACTGCTTCTCTCTAACCCCGTTCAGCCTTTGCCCTTCAGTTCTGTGTCCCTGGGGTCCTTTTCTTTAGCAACAAGCACTCACTCACTCAGGGGTTCTCTGAGCTGCAGTGACAGACAGGAGACAGACGGACACGCAGTCAAGGGCAGCCAGGAGCGTGGGGCAGGCCTGGGCAGTGCCGGTGGAGACCACCCCGGATGAGATTGATGGAGAAAATCTGTCCCATAGCTTTAAGGTCACATCAAGTGTGGCAAAACCCTCTCCTCTGCTACACATTTTTAAGATATGACAGTGATAACTGGTTTTACACTTTGAAGATAATCATCCCAGTTCCACCATCCCAATGCGACTTGGAGCGACCCTCTGCAGGGCACGCCCTCGTGGACAGGCACACTCGCTGGCGTAGTTCCAGTCACCCTGCGTGTGCTGTTTGGATGCCATTTCCCACCAGCCTTGTCTCACACACGTCCCCAGAGCCTTCGTGGGGGCAGCTGTGACAGGCACACGCTGGCTCACACTCTTTGGGGCCACACTGACGAGCTCTGCACCCCCTGGGCCCGGCAGCTGGTCCCGCTGAGGACTCCCAGCCAGCCGCATGTTCCCACTGGTGACCCGAGGCCTCTTCTGCACTATTTCTTTGGTACGAGGTCCTCCAAACATAAGTACTGAGTTAAAGACTAGGTCTGTTCACTCTTATTCACTTCTTCATTCATTCGTTCATTTATTCATTATTCATTCATTCAACAGATACTCACTGGAATATGCCCATCAGGGGGCAGGCACCGGGTGAAGACAGGCATGTCTTTATGGGCCTGCATTCTAGTTGGCCTGGGAGGGGCCAGGCCATACACAGAAAACCCCTCAAAGGGAGCTGCTCCAGGGCAACCCCCCACGTGTGGGGGGACCCACCGGGCCGGGCGGACGGGCAGGCTTGCAGCCAGCAGAGCTGCCGCTTAGCCGGGTCCCGCAACCTGCAGGAGTCACCCAGCATCACCGCTTCGTGACTCCGCCAGCCCTGGGAGGCAGCACCCCCAAACCTCACCTGCTGTGAGGGGAGGGCGGCTCGGACGGACCGCCACCAGCTCACCTGGCTGGCACGGCTGTCTCTGTGCTCGGCTGCTGCTCGGGGCGCCCCTCCTGCTCTGGCTGCGGCTTCGTGAAGTGGCCCATGAAGTTGGAGAGGTCCTCCATGTAGGGCCGGTGCACGTCGGCCGAGTACGCGATCCCCAGCTTCTGTAAGAACTCCTGGTAGGTGATGTGCCCCTTCCTCTCGGTGTCATAGCTTCGAAGGCAAGCAAACACAGCTGTCATCAGTAGCAGGCAGGCTCGGGGCTCGGAGCGCCCCCGACCCCTGGCCACTCAGCGCTCTGCAGACCAGCAGCCCTGGCTCACGGGGTGGGGGACGAAAGCCCTCGGGCCTCGGCCGCACCCGGTCTGAGTCTGCATTTAACAAGATTCCCAAGAACACTGCTGCCTGAAGCCCGCGCGCAGTCCACAGAAGGCTCACCGCGTGTCGGGGGCCTCGGCCCACCCCGGCGGACAGCAACTGAGTGTGTTCACCCGTCGTGCAGAGGGAAACACAGCTGGGACCACAGAAAATGCACATCGACCCTTTCATTCATTCAACAGCTTTTCATCGAGCACCTACATGTAACGCAACCAAGGTTTAGGAAAAAATCCTTCAGCGAGCGGTCGGTCTTAAAGCTCGAATAAGAGAATGTGGCTTGACTCAGTCCCGTCTGGTCTTCAAAGATGCCGATCGCACCACCGACGGGGGAGACTACACGGAAAACGGTGAGAGTCACGCTGTGCACCTTTTATGTCACTTTCCATCACTGAAGCTTGCCTGAATTATAATTAATTAAAACAGGAACGACGAGGGTTTTTATCTCCCAACATGATTCAAATAGAAGAGAATTACTTCAATAAAAAATGTTAAGACAAATTGCCAATTTTCTTTAAAGAAAAAAAAGCATTTATTTTAACGGCAAGATCTTGGTCCTCATCTCATCGATACACACGGCGTTTGGGGGTGCGACTTTCCCCAGATGAACTCGGACTCGCGAGGACCGAGACTAAACAACTTGCGGGCACTGCTCTCTGTGGGCTGGGGGGGGGGGGGGCTGTGTGGCTGAGCGGGGGGGGGCTGTGTGGCTGAGCGGGGGGGCTGTGTGGCTGAGCGGGGGGGCTGTGTGGCTGAGCGGGGGGGCTGTGTGGCTGAGCGGGGGGGGCTGTGTGGCTGAGCGGGGGGGCTGTGTGGCTGAGCGGGGGGGCTGTGTGGCTGAGCAGGGGGGCTGTGTGGCTGAGCGGGAGGGGCTGTGTGGCTGAGCGGGGGTGCTGTGTGGCTGAGCGGGGGTGCTGTGTGGCTGAGCGGGGGGGCTGTGTGGCTGAGCGGGGGGGGCTGTGTGGCTGTGCGGGGGGGGGCTGTGTGGCTGAGCGGGGGGGCTGTGTGGCTGAGCGGGGGGGGCTGTGTGGCTGAGCGGGGGGGGCTGTGTGGCTGAGCGGGGGGGCTGTGTGGCTGAGCGGGGGGGCTGTGTGGCTGAGCGGGGGGGGGGGGGCTGCGGATCCCCTCCGCCCTTACGGAGAAGCCCCGGGCCAGCGAACCTGGCTCTGGGACAGGCTGAGCACAATGAAGAAAATCTACTCATTTACCCAACCGACTTTCTCGTCCTTAAGGGGTGGGCTGGTGGGTGGAAGACAAAGAGGTAAGAAGACTGGACGAATGTTTCCTGTCCTTGTCCTTGTGCTCAGATCCAAGGCACATCCCAGGAGTCGGCCCGTCCGTCCTTCCGAGGCCCAGGGGCCATTCCCCAGGGGGCCTGCGGAGCACAGGCCTCGCCCTCCCCACGGCTTCCTTCTGCGCCCACAGGTCTGCAGCTTCCTTCCGCCCTGTGACCTCCGCCCGCACCACCAGCACCCAGGCCTGTCACCATGGACTCCAGGTGACCGAGGCAGCCGAGGAGAAGGCCGAGTCACACCAGCTCACCGGCCCCGAGAGTCTGGCAGGGCCCTTGCCCAGCCGGGGGTCGGCGTCCTGCCTGTGACCACTGAAGGCATCCCTGGATCCTGGGTCTCGCTCGGTTGTCACTGTTATTCCTGAAACCCTCTAAGATCTTTCCAGGTGACAGATCAGTGCGACCTTAGTGCCTGCAACCCCTAAGAGCATCGCCCTACCTTCGTTCAGTGACTTCTGTCTCAGACGGAACCGAGGGACACACCCACCCGAGGCGGCCTGTGGGTCCCCAACTCCTGGGCTTGTCAGTGGCTGCAGCACATGGCTCTCCGGCTGCTGGTGATGGGACCAGAGTTGCAGAAAGGGGGTCCGGCTACCCACCCAAGTTGCTAGGGAGGGAAGGGGCAGCCATTCTTGGATTTCGAGGACCATGACCCCAGGACCATGTCTCCCCCTGCACTGCACCAGGTCAATGCCCAGCCTGTGCTGCCACAGTGATGGAGTCCTGCAGCTCTGGCCAGGACACCCCTGAATAAGCCCCCCAAGGGCCCCCCATTCCTACAGGAGGATTCCAGAAAGAATGGTGCATAGACCCCTCCCAACTGACAGAACCTCTCTCCTCCTCTGTCCAAGGTTCTGTATTTCCACCACCCTCCGGATTCTTCTCAGGCGAGGGGAGCATGGTGGGCAGGCGCCCCAGGGGCTGAGACCAGGGCCGGGCACGCGGGGCGCATGCTGGTGCTCACTGCTGCTACTCCCCACGAAAGCTCAGCCGCCCTGCTCCCTGCTCCGCCCCCGTGGCCGGCGAGGCTGGGGAGCCACCGTGCCTGTGCCCGCGCGCAATTCTCCTAATGGCGCTCAGCACCCGTCTGCCGCACACGTGTGCGTGAGGGACGCGTGCTCCCTGAACGGAAGCGAGCGGCTCAGCTCACACCGCCCTGCCCTGCCCGATACAACCCTTTGCGCGACATTTGAACAATCCGCCTTGCCGCCCCAGCCGGTCGGCTCAGTGGTTGGAGCATCGGCCCGCGAACCGAAGAGTCGTGGGTTCGATTCCAGTCGAGGAAACGCACCTCAGTTGCGGTTAGGTCCGCAGCCCTGGTTGGGGTTGTGCGGGAAGCAGTCAGTCCGTGTCTCTCTCACATCGATGTTTCTCTCTCTTTCTCCCTCCCTCCCATTCTATCGGAAGATAAATGGGAAAATATCCTCAAGTGAGGATTAAACTAAAAAATCCACCTTGCCTTGAAAGCTGGACTCTGAAAAGTGTCTACACGCACAGGGGACCCGCGGACACTCACAGTGCTCGTGGCGACGGCCACCGCGGCTGACACAGTCTGGTCTCTGCCCGTTTACTGCCCGCAGTGTGGAGACGTGCCCATCGGCGGCCTTGCTGGCGGTCTCGTCCTTCACGCTCCGTTTAAGCACCTGACTCGCAGCAGGGACGGAATTACCTCCTACCACTGCCGACCAGACAGAGGGTCTGCTGTCACCTGCTGATGGCCCGGGACCGCAGCAGAGGCAGCCCCGGCGTCTCGGGCAGCTTGGGACGAAGGGTTCTCCTGGCACCGCCCATGAGGCTGGTCTGATGGCTCGGAGCTGCCCTGCAGAACGCAGTGCCCAACGGCCGGAGCTGGCCACGTCCCCTGGGCATATTCAGTAAGTCCTGTTGGCATCCAAGATCAGAGGCCAACTGCTCATCCCCACCCAGGGCCACAATCCCGCCTCACCTTGAATACTGCCCCTGGCAGTTTGCTGACAAGTTCTTTTTTTTTCTAGTATGTTTTTATTTTATTCTATTCTATTTTATTTTATTTTATTTATCCTCACCCGAGGACATTTTTGCATTTATCTTCAGACAGAGCGGGAGGGAGAGAGTGAGGAAGAGAGAGTGAGAAACATCGGTGTGAAAGGGGACACATTGAGTGGTTGCCACCCACACGACCCAACCAGGGACCGGGACGAACTGCAACTGAGGTACGTGCCCTTAGCGGGAACCGAACCCAAGTCTCTCTGGTCCGCGGGCCAACCCTCCAACCGCTGAGCCAAACTGGCCAGGGCTATTTTATTTTATTTTTTAGAGAGGAAGGGAGAGAGAGATGGGAACATCAACATCGGTTGGCTACCTCCTGAGCCCGCAACCTGGGCATGTGCCCTGACCGGGAATCAACCCGGGACCTTTCAGTCCATGCAACGCCGCTCAGTCCACTGAGCCACCCGGCTGGGCTACTGCTAAGGAGTTCTTGATGCTAAGCTAAGAGGCCTCTCCAGCCAGCCCATCCTCTCCAAGAGAGGCCTCCATCGTCGGCTCTTCCAGAACTCAGCCGCACCATCAGGCCCCATTCCTTCTCCTCGGCTCCAAGCTGAAGATTCTGTTCATCCAGCCCTTTCGAATCCTCGCCCGTCTGAGGCTCCGCTAGGTGTCCAGCCCCAGCAGGGGCCAGGTCTTGGGCTCTTCTAACGGGGCCACGCCTTCCTCTCCCGTCCCTGGGCCTCTCTGCTCACGGAACGCCCTTCCCCCACCTTTGGCTAACTGCTTCTCAAGACTCAACGCAGGCCTCACAGCGGCTGGGCCCTCCCTGCACACCCAGGCGGCCCCACAGCCCCAGCCCCTTCCCCCTCCCGGCATGCTGCTGCTGTCCCCACGCTGGTCCGTCTGCCTTCCTGCTGAGCAGCCCGCCACCTTCAGCTCTAGAACCGAGGCGTCTAGCACAGGGCCTGCAACTTACAAAGTTCCCCCAAATAAATAAATAAAACCGCCTGCTTAGTGATTGCTCGGACGGATGAGTGAATGAATGAATGAATGAATGAATGAATACACTTCCAGCTTGTAATTCACTCCTAGCTGCTGCTCCAAAACCAAACCAAGATATTGCTCCTAAAACCTCTGGCTTCGCCCTGGCCGGTTTGGCTCAGTGGTTGGAGCGTCGGCCTGCAGTCCAGAGAGATCCGGGTTCGGTTCCCGCTAAGGGCACGTACCTCGGTGGCAGTTTATCCCCGGCCCTGGTTGGTCGTGCAGGTGGCAGCTGCTCGATGTGTCCCTTTCACGTTGATGTTTCTCTCTCTCTCTCTTCCTCTCTCTCCCTCCTGCTCTATCTGAACAAAAAATAGAAAAATGTCCTCGGGTGAGGATGAAAAAAAAAACCCTCTGGCTTCAAGACACTAACCCGGCTCCACGCGGCAGGTGCCCTGGCACCCGGCCTCCTCGGCTCCAGCACTGTGCTCCTTCACGCTCAGGGGGTCGGCCGGCAACACCGATGGCTCCCCACATCACTCGCTCCCCCTCTGTCCAGCCCTGAGCCGTCCGTGGGGCCACTGACCAGCCCTGCGCAACAGGCCTCGGGCAGGAGTGAGTCGGTTCTAGGCTGAAGCCCTGCAAAGCCCCTCCCCAGCTGGCGGGGGGGGGGGGTCCCCGCTGAGGTCCCATCACCCCTTGGAAGGGAATTGTCCAGAAGAGCCTCCAGACATGCAGCAGATAGTGGGTGAATAAGAAACAGCACACCAGTGTGCTGAGCACTGAGGTCTGGGGGTTAATGCCTCGGTTCACGTCCACAGCACAACTAGACCCTCCAGGCGAACCAGACGCTCTAGGACAGCGCCCTTCACAGACGGACGGGCACCCAGTGGGTGATGGGTGTGGGACGTCTCTGCTTCTCTCGACTCTGCCCTATTTTCTAATTTTGTGTTTTCACAAGAACAGAATGTTATTTGCCTACCTGCTTCCGCCTACCCAGTTTTGGGGGTGCTTTCCTATTCTGACAATGGCTGGCGAAGGGTCTTTCCGGCGCTGGCGAAGGGTCTTGCTGGCCCCGGAAGCTCCCGACGTCCCCGTGGTCCCAGCTCACGCACCCGAGACGACCCCGTGGGCAATGAAGGAGGCGCCGGGCCCTGCCCCCGTCAGCGCCTCCTGCTTTGTGATGAAGCAAGCGCTCCCCGTCATTACCAGCAGACACCGCGAGGAACAGGCGGGGGTGAACAACGGCGGGATGATGAGACCGAGGTCGCGGATCGCAGGGGAGGGGGATGGAACACACTCCCAGAGCCCACTGCGCACCCTCTCCGCCGTGGTCACGGCTGCTTCACCGGCGTCTCTCCTCCTCCTCTGCTCTCTGGGGTTCCGAGTCCTCGGAACTGAGCGCGCACCGGTGTCACCACTTCAAGTCCGTGTGGTCTTTTTGCTGCTCAGTTTTGTTCTTATATATGCTGGTACCGTACATGCGTTATGCTGTTTGACAGATGACTGAAGCCCAGAGAAGGTGAGCCTCCAGCCCAAGGCCAAACAGCTCGGTCGGGGCGCCCTGGGGTGGGGTGCAGGTCCCGCTCGGAACACGGCCACCTGGGGCGCCCTCCCGATTTCCGTCACGGCCCTCGGGTGACTCCAGGGGCATCTCGCCTGCTCCTCGGCGGCCTCTCCTTCAGGCTCCCGGACACTCTGCGCTGCCTGACCCTCTGCCACCACCGCCGCTTCCCGCTCAGCCCTCCTCTCACTCGGACACCGCAGCCCCCCGGTCCCCTCCACGCCTCCCGGCCTGCGGGCTGCAGGGCACACTCCTTCCTGGAAGGCGCCTGCGAGGCCTTTCCCCACTGGACACTCGCCTGCAGGATGGGGTTCCCACCTTGTCCCGTCCTTCAGGACAAGGTCCGCTGATGGGGCCACCTCTCCTGGCAGGCCCAGGTCGTCCGCACTCGGCCACCAGGTCCTCCCCGTTCCAGGAGGTGGCGCCTGCCTCTGCCCGTAGCTGGACAGTCATCTGTGGCTGCCAGCCCTGTGCTCACCCTTCAGCACACCTGAGCTGCCACCCAGCTGCCTCCAGGGACGCTGCCTGGTCAGAAGGTGGGAGGACAGCAGAGCAGGGCTGTCCCCAGTGGCCTCCATGGTGGCCGTGGCCGTGGCTCCTGCTTGGTCCAGCAGCTGAGGTTCTAGCAGACTCCAGATCTGGGGTGGAGAAAACTTCCTGATCTCTAAGAAATGTTTCCTGATCTCGGGGTGACCCATCTTCTGCCCCTGCTCCGCCGGCTCACTGGGGCGGCAGCCTCTTGGCTGCTGAGTCAGACAAACTGCCCCTCCCGGCCCTCCGACTCCTCTGTAATCAGCCACTGCGCAACCCACGTGGCCGTGAGTACGGGCGGGGTCTCTGCTCTCCGGCCTGGACGCTGGGGGACATATTCCTGCAGTTTCCTGTGTGTCATATGCCCCGGCCCTGCCCTGGGAGGCAAGTCCTATGTGGCAGACGCCATCCTGAGTCCCCCACCTGTTTCTTTCCCCCGGGACACACCCAAACGAGACCGAGAGGTCGTCAGGACAAGCTGAGACTCGGCCTTGCGTGTTACTGCAGCTAGTCTCCCTGACCGACACCCGCCCCCGCGCACTCGGCTTAACGCCACCAGCTGCGAAGCCTTGGTCAGCCCCTCGGGGACCACAGCACCTGACCCACGAGCATGTCTCTTCTGGGGCCGCGTGAGCCTCGTAAGGGGTTAGCTCTCTGTTATTTATTCACCTTCATACCCTTAGCCCAGTAACGAAACACACACACACACACACACACACACACACACTCGTCTTCACACCTGCTGTATGAGGAGGAGGCTGGGCAAATGTACCGAGCAGTGACTACGCGCCAGGCTCTGCGTCAAACACTCCACACACGTGAAGTAACCAGTCCCCCCAGCATCCCGAGGTGACGGAGGCCGCTAGTCCCATTCTGCAGATGAGCAGGACGAGGCCCAGAGCCGCTAAGTGACTCCATAGTGGCCACACCTCTAAGGGGTGAGGCGGGGTCGCGGGGCTGCCCCGCCCCTCCGTGGCGTGCGGTCACCTGGACGAAGTAGGTAAAACTCCGACCTCAGACAGTTTCAGCACGGGCGGCCCCGTGCACACCTGTGCTGTGACGCCTGTACAAGGGACGTGAGCCACACGCAGCGGCCGGGGTCTGCCTCCTGTGAGAACCGGCCTGGCTCTGTCCGCCCTGCAGGACTTGGGCTAAGCACACGCTTCCTCTACAGGGGGACCCTCTCGGGGACACGACTTCAGCGTCTCGTCCCCACGGCCCACCTCCCGCTCGGGGCTCGTCCTGCCCCACCCTGACGGAGGAGCCGTCTCCCGGGGCCCCCGTCCAACCCGCTCCCTGCAGGGTTTGCTGACCACTGTCCTAGGGCGTGTCGGTTCACACCCTGCCCCACTCAGATCTCACCCCTCCTGAATGCCTGCTTAACAGCGCCCCCAAGAGGACCTCGGTGCCCTGCTCGGCCCTGCTCACCCCCCTCTCCCTGGGGGCCTCGCCAACCGTCCCCAAGTCAGCCAGTCCTCCTTCCCCATCGCCACCCCTGGGAACCGGTTCACATCCACCCCCCGCCCGTGACAGCTTCCTGCTCCTCCCCGCCCTCCCGCCGACATGCCCCCTCCTCTGGCATTCGCGAGGTCAACGCCGCACCCCAGTAGTTGGGAGGGTGCTGCCTGCTCCCCGACAGCCCGAGCACCAGGCTCACCAGGCATCTTTGCGTCATCCACAAGGTCCACGGGGCGGGAGCCCCGTCCATCTGCCCGCTGTGCCCCACCCTCCACTACCCAGACGGAGCTACACATCTAACCCACCGAAAGAAGAATGGAGGGGGAGACTACACTGGCCCTGAGTTGGAGCTGATCTGAAAATAAAAATAAGGATTTTACAAGAATTTCAAGTTGCTTTACTAAATTAGCCACCAAACATCCCACCTAATTCTAAAGTGGACCAACGCGTCGGCTTCCCACTTCGGGAAGAAGAAACGCTGAGTGACAGGAACCGCGGCGCGAGCTCGCCCAGAGGCGCACAGCGGCGGTGTCCCTGGGGAGGCCGGCGGCACCCGGCACGTAAGGAACGAGGACAGCGCTCAGGCAGGCGTCCGGAGCTCGGAAACGGGCCGCAGCGTCAGACACGCACCCAGGCAATACGGCGTCGGGGCCAGCTCAAAGACAGACACTACGTTCCGTTTGAGGGACCGTAAGGAAACTCCCCCAAGTCATCAGGAGTTGCACATTTCCTTGCAGCCAATTACTCGTCTCCAAGACGGCCGTCCGACATCGGCACCGTTTGTGAGCAGCGGGCGGCCCGCTGTTCCCTCGGGAGCGAGCTGCTTCTCTGAACACTGAGTGCAGGCCTGGAGCCCGGCTCCGCAGCACTGAGCCCTCTCCAGGCGAGCATGGGCTACGCTGGCCCGGCCACCGCGTTCCTGTCGACCGGCCTGCTCACCCAGGCGCTTGCTGCGGGAACAGGAACAAGGACCCGGGCACAGGACGGACGCAGCCCAGAGAAAGCACCCCGGCCCCCACCTCACCCCCCAGGAGTGACGAAAGGCAGGTGCTGGATTTGCAGCAGGGGACCCGAGGCCAGCCCGTCACTCACCGCATCCAAAGCTTTTCAAATTCCCTCGGCGTGAGGGGAATGTCGAAGCCATACAGTGCGTTCTTCACATCCAGGCGCCGAAGGATGCCGGCGCCCTCGCTGTCCGTCTCGATGAAATTCTGCAATGTCAGGAGGTGCAGCTAGCAGCGCGTCGGGCGTGTTCACGGCAGAATACAGGGCTTCCCGTAGTCACTGCCTGGGAGAATCTAGCCCATTCTCCTCCCCGTCCACCTGCTTAGCCACCTCTGATCTGAGTCCCAGATCCCTCCTAAGCCTCTACAGAAGGTTCTAGAGCAAACACCAAGGACTCTGTCCTGGGTGGGGCTGGTTTCTGGGCAGTGAGTGGTCTCAGGTGTGTGACTGGGATTCTTTTCCTGACCGACAACTTGGGTTCAAGACTATGAGAAACCAAGCCCTTCGCCTGCCCCCACCCCCCAAGCCTGGGAGATGAGACCATATTGCTTGAGGCTGTCATCTCAGCGACAGCCTCGCGAGCACCGTAGTGGTGGGAGATTAACACATCCCCCACGATCAGGAACAAGACAAGGACATCTCTAGGGCCCTCTGTTTGTCACTGTATGGAGGTAGGCGCGGCTCAGCACGGAAGAGAAACACAAGGTATAGCATTAGGACAGGAGAAAATACCATTGTCGTTAATCATAGACGAGCTGACTGTATTATAAGAGAATTCAGCAAGAAATCTGGATTCTATATCAATAGGCAAAGTCACCACATTTTTATGTATCAGACACAGAAAATACATTTTTAAAAATAACATCTACAAATGGCATTCGAAATAGCAAGTCCTAGGAATAGATGTCGCAGCGACCGCAAGGCTTCTGCACGGAAACGTCTGAAGCGCCACCGGAAATTTCTACAGACGACTAGTCACTGGAAACACCACGTCCGTGCACTGGGAGACTCCAGATGGCAAGAGGTCGTTCTCTGCAAACGTCCCAGGGGGTTTTCCCTCTGTGAGCCTGACACACTGGCTGGGAGACTCTGGGAGGACGAAGGAGGGGCTAGCGCACCAGCTGACGCAGAGGCATCGCTCGGCCACGGGGGCTTGAAGACGCAGCACTGGCGCCAGGACAGACGGACTGACAGACCCGAATGGTGCCAGGGCCTCCATGCAGGACAGTGGTGATGCTGAGGGACGGGGTGGGAGCTGGGGGGACACGGGCTCTACAGTCAACGGTGCTGGGGCGACCGGATGTCCACGTGGAAGGTGGAGCTGGACCCCTGCTCAGGCACATGTGGGGACATCGGGGGACATCAGGCACGGTCAGGACCTGAGTGTGGAGGGTGGACGGCTAAGCTCCCGGGCGAGGACGCAGACTATCTCCCTGCTTCCTTACGTACGGCCTGCCGGGAGGTGTTCATACATCTGACTATGTTACGAAGAACTTAAACTTCAAAAGACATCATATCAAAAGGGTGCGGACAGAACACAAACTGGGAGAAGGCATTCGGGTCACACGTCACTCACAGAAGACTAGCAGCCCAACCACGGCAGGAGTTCCCACGGGCCGCGAGAAAGAGACGGACAGTCCCGTGTGGGACCTGAAAAAGGGCTCGAGCAGGACTTCACAGAGAAGGAAGCCTGGCTGACAGGTAACGGGACAAAAAGGTGCCCGGTCTCATTAGAAACTGCAGTGGGGCCCGGCCGGTGTGGCCCAGTGGTCGAGCATCGACCATGCACCAGGAGGTCGCCGGTTCAATTCCTGGTCAGGCACATGCCCAGGTCGTGGGCCCGATCCCCAGTGGGGGGCGTGCAGGAGGCGGCCAGTCGATGTTCTCTCTCAACGATGTTTCTCTCCCTCTCCTTCTCCCTTCTTTCTGAGATCAATAAAAACATACTTAAAAAGAAAAAACAAAAAACATCTGCAGTGGGATACCATCACTCCCGCGCTGCAGAGGACAGAACCCAGCACCCGAGCGCGCCCAGGGCTTCCGTGTGCCACTGAGCAGGGTGGTGGGGCCCTGCGGCCCACAGAGCCGAAAGCACGTGCTGGCTGGCCCTGCACAGGAAAAGCGAGATGTTGCCCAGTCCTATCCCTTCATCTGGACGATGGTCAAGGGCACATCCCTGGGTAGCAGGTTTGATCCCGGCCCCGGTCAGGGTGTGTACAGTGGGATAGGAATTGGAAGACATGGTGACTACTTAAACTTATTCAAAAATATATATACAATATGCCCTGGCCAGTTTTGCTGAGTGGTTAGAGCACCAGCCCACATACGAAGGGTCTCGGGTTCCAGTCCCGGTCAAGGGCACATCCCTGGGTAGCAGGTTTGATCCCGGCCCCGGTCAGGGCGTGTACAGGAAACAAGCAGCTGATGTGTCTCTTTCACACTGATGTTTCTCTCTTTCTCTCCCCCTTCCTCCTTCCCTCGCTCCCTCCCTCCTTTTCGATTCTCTCTAAAAAAGCAATGGAAAAAATATCCTTGGGTGAGGATTAATAATATATATATTATTATGTACATTATAATATATAAATATGTACATACTATATATATATATATATACATATATATGCGTAGTTATATACATATATTATTGTTGTACCCACTGTAGAGTTACAACTTAAAAAACAAGCTTCAAAAAATTAGGTCTGGAAGATTTCAAAGTCCCTTTAAAAACTTAACAGCACGTAACACGAGGTGACTGTACTCAATACCAATAAATTGGTGCACTTAAAAATGGCTAAGATGGTGATTGTTATGTGTATTTTACTGCAATTTAACCAAAAAAAACCCCAAAAACAAACGCTCACAGCACATAAGGCCTGCGGTGACCTGTCCCCTGCTGACCCCGCCCTGCCTCGCACTGGCATCCGCCCAGCGGGCCCCTTGGACCCGTCCGTGCTGAACCACCTGCAGCCCCTCCAAGTGTCCGTGCGGGCACGCCACTGGCCCTTGCCCAACCCCTGCCAGCTCCCCAGGGGCCTCCTGTTCCTGGTACGAAAGCCCCCCCGGGCACACGCTTCCCAGGGGCCTCCTGTCCCGGGCAGAAAGCCCCCCCCCAACCCCTGCCAGCTTCTCAGGGGCCTCCTGTTCCTGGCAGAAAGCCCCACCCCGGGCACACGCTTCCCCGCGTTCTCACTGCTGCCTGCCCCGCGGCCTCCGGCGGGCAGAGGCCTGTCTGTCCCTCTGTCACTGCGTCTCTCAACCTTGCGACGGTGCGCAGTTAGCGCATAATGTTTGCTGGAGACACCGATGGACTTATTTTCTGAGAACACTCGAACTGAAATGAGCATATTACACTGCCCCGTGGGATGGCCCTGCGCCTCCCGAGAGCTCGGCTGGGGGCGCCTGGGGGGAGCGGGGCTCAGCAGCCTGCCGGAGGAGTGTGGAGGTGACCAAATGACTGAACACCGAGTCCCTCTTCACGTTCCGAACGCACCTTTTTGTGTTCTTTATTGATTTTAGAGAGAGAGGAAGTGAGAGGGAGGGAGAGATAGAAACATCGATGAGAGAGACATCGACTGGCCGCCTCCTGCACGCCCCCCACTGGGGATGGGGCCCACAACCTGGGCATGTGCCCTGACCGGGAATCCAACCAGCGACCTCTGGGTGCATGGGTCACACTCAACCACGGAGCCGCACGGCCGGGCTGAAGGCAGCTTTACTAGAGAACGCATCCTTTGGCGTATTGGCAGGCCTCTGGGTGAACCCCGAGTGGAAGTGCAGGGAGATGAACTCCATACCCTTGGCTGCTTGTAGGACCCACAAGGGTCTTGTCCCAGGGGCCCAGAACAGGGCTGTGGGCACGGATGACGCCGCCCGGTCATCACCGGGCGCCACGGCGTGAACGGGCTGATCTCATCCATGAACCGAGTCACACTTTCTGCAGGTTTGGAATCCAGAACTAGCTCCTTCAGTGCTTTACTCCGAAGAGGCCGAGAGAGTGACAGAGGTGTCCAACATCACTGCCATGGCGCCTGCAGGGTTCGAGTCCCGTGGGGTCCCAGAGAGGTGACAGCATGGTGCCTACGCTCCATTCCTCCCCCTCCATATGCCCCCACAGGCAGACCCCCTTCCTCTGTCACCCTGTGTCCCCCCACCCCCCGCTGGCTCTGTTCTAGAAGAGGCAGGTTTCCATGGGACAGACGAGGATGCTGAGCTAGCAGCCCGGCGCTCCGGCCCTCGCTCCACCACACGCCTGGGGTTCTGCAAAAGGACCGAGAGCTGCAGAGGCCGTAGTGCGGAGGAGCAGCCTGGGAGGAGTGAGGGCCATACAGGGAGAGAGGCCAACCCGCCGGAGAGAGGACAGGCCGAGGCAGGCAGGGACAGAGGCTGAGTTTCAACAGGGCTGGACTGAAGGCCGAAACAAAGGCTCCGCCCGCCGGCAGCCCTCGGGCCTCTCCAGCAGGGCCAGTCTGCTCTGTTCGTGCCCTGCCTTAGACGGCCACCCTCCTGGCCTGGGAGCTCTGTGAGGCCCAGTGGCTCTCCTGCTAAGGACAAGGGACAGGAGGCGGGCTGGAGGGGTGCAGCCCTGGAGCTCAGAAGGACTCCAAAGATGGAAAGTCCGTGGGCACAGGCCACGACACCAAACACAGACAGAAAATGACCAAGAGAAACAAAGTGCAGACATTCTTCAAAACAATGCACAGTTCTCCGCAATGCAGTTCAAAAGGCACTTTTTGAAGTGCAGTCGCTGTGCTGCATTACGAAGGGGTGACCACCTAGCCTGGCGCCTCTGGGTCTGCTCTGCAGCTGTGCGGGGAGCTGCTGTTACGTTGTTTCCGTCCTGACTGTGGAGCCTTCAGAAGGTGCTTCTGACAATCTTGGCAACACAGGGACCTGCCTCTTTACTACTTTATTTGTTGTTATTGTTAATCCTCACCCGAGGGTATCTTTTCATAACTTTTCAGAGCGAGCGGAAGGGAGGGAGATTACAGAGAGAGCGGCATCGATGTGAGAGAGACACATCGATTGGTTGCCTTCTGCACGACGCCTACTAGGGCTGGGGATTGAACCTGAAACCGAGGTACGTGCCCTTGACGGGGAATCAAACCCTGACCCTTCCGTCTGCAGGCTGGTGCTCTAACCGCTGAGCGAAACTGGCCAGGGCGGGCCACGCCTCTTTAAAGCAGTTTGTGACCGTGGAAAATACGTGTGGCAGTGTCTTCCATTTCCCTTTAAGCTGCTAATGTATCCAACCCGAGACGAAGCCAGGAGCTTCTGTCCCTGCAACTCCGACAAGTACTTATTTTTCTGAACCTGGGTTGACCATGAACGTGAGAATCGGTTTCATTTCAGACAAAAGGAGCCACTGCACCAGTCTAAGCAGCTCAAGCATCCCAGTGACCTCGGAGTTTGTTTGTTTGTTTTTTTAATCCTCACCTGAGGACATTTTTGCATTTATCTTCAGATAGAGTGGGAGGGAAAGAGGGAAGAAGAGAGAGAGAGAGAAACATCGATGTGAAAGGGACACATCGAGTGGCTGCCACCCACACGACCCCAACCGGGGCCTGGGACAAACTGCAACTGAGGCACGTGCCCTTAGCGGGAACCGAACCCAGGACTCTCTGGTCTGTGGGCTGATGCTCTAACCGCTGAGCCAAACCGGCCAGGGCCACCTCGGAGTATTGAAAGAAACTTCCTTTCCTTCCAAGGAAATGGTCCTTTTCTTACCTTAGACAAGTCTGACCATCTGTTTTTGGCTTTGGTAACAAGGTACTGATGAGCCTGGTCACAGGCCAGTTCTGAATCCGCGACCTTCCGTTTTGATCTTAAAAGAATAAATAAATAAATAGCTGTGTTTAAATGTAACGGACTCATTCATCTCTCAAGGAGTTCCTCTACCCCTGTTGTTTTAAAGATCCCGTCAAAGTCTGTTATTTCACATCGGGTCTAATTTCATTCTTAAACTACAGTCTCGTCACCCCAGCTGGACGTTAGGGAAGTCTTGGATTTTACAAGTCCTTATTTATTTTCAGATACATGCGGTTAAACTTTTTCTGCAGCTCACAAAACAAACAGGGCTCATTTATTCTCACGGGGGCGGGGGACACACTATAGCATTCAGGGTCTTCGGAAGAAAACAAACTTATTTCTGGGCTACAGGCCGCAATGACGGCGCGGCTGCGGCAAGCGGTTCGGAACGACGGGAGCCTCCTCGCAGACGCGTCTCGGCCACCGTTCAGAGGCTCGGTGTGAAGGCTGCCAAGTCATCCGGACTCTTTATTTGCTCATGGATGCTGAGCACCGAGATACAGAAAGAGGACCTGTGTTCACCGCCTCGGGGAGGCCAAAGTGAGGCGAAGGCCGCGGCTGAAGGAAGGGGAGGTGCCCTGGACCCTCCCACTCACCGAAAACAATCAGGGGAGTGTGAAACCTGTCACTCCTTCACAACTCCCCCCACACAGGTGCCTAGCTCCCAGCCGCACCTGTCACTCCGTTTTCAGGACCCGAGCTTCTGTACACCCAGGTCTGCACCTGGGGTGTCCTCCCCGTGGATAGGAGCGCCCGGGACAGTCCTGCAGCAAGACCAGCTGACAGTTCCCTGAAATGGGACCACGTTGGTGCGCAGGCCCGGAACCTGCATACTGACTCACAGGCACTTTGCCTCGGGGGAACCGGGGCCACCCGACCAAGGCCCCAGACAGACCCGCATATGAATTTCCCGTAAGGGACCCAGGAAAACCAGGGTGGGGGGCAGAAACAAACTCCATGTAGCCCTTTTAAAAAGTTAACCAGTTCCTGGCCAGTCTGGCTCAGCGGTTCGAGCATTGGCCTGTGGACCAAAGAGTCATGGGTTCGATTCTGGTCAGAGCACGTAACTCCGTGACAGTTCAGTCCATGGCCCTGGTCGTGCAGGAGGCAATGAATCGATGTGTCTCTCTCACATCGATGTTTTTCTCTCTCTCCTCCCCGCCCACTCTGTCTGAAAATTAATGGAAAAATATCCTCAGCGAGGATTTAAAAAAAATAAAATTAAAAGAATAAAAATGAAAAGTTAATCAGCATGCTGCCAGTTCAGAAAACGCAGAAACGTGTGTGTCCCAAACCGTGGAGGACAGAAATCTGTGCAACCCTCAGAGCAGTGCTGCTGTGACTACGACCCGCTTCTGCCTGGGACACACGGGCCCGGAGCACTGCGAGTGTCCAGGGGGACGACAACCCGGACCCATGACCACGGGCCCGGAGCACTGCGAGTCTGCAGGGTGACAACAGCCCGAACCCCATGACCACAGGCCCGGGGCACTGCGAGTCTGCAGGGGGACGACGACCCGGACCCATGACCACGGGCCCGGAGCACTGCGAGTCTGCAGGGGGACGACGACCTGGACCCATGACCACGGGCCCGGGGCACTGCGAGTCTGCAGGGGGACGACGACTTGGACCCATGACCACGGGCCCGGGGCACTGCGAGTCTGCAGGGGGACGACGACCCGGACCCATGACCACGGGCCCGGAGCACTGCGAGTCTGCAGGGGGACGACGACTTGGACCCATGACCACGGGCCCGGGGCACTGCGAGTCTGCAGGGGGACGACGACCTGGACCCATGACCACGGGCCCGGGGCACTGTGAGTGTCCAGGGGGATGATGACCACAGGACCTATGACCACGGGCCCGGAGCACTGCGAGTCTGCAGGGGGACGACGACCTGGACCCATGACCACGGGCCCAGAGCACTGTGAGTGTCCAGGGGGACGATGACCACAGGACCCATGACCACGGGCCCGGAGCACTGCGAGTGTCCAGGGGGACGACGACCTAGACCCATGACCACGGGCCCAAAGCACTGCGAGTCTGCAGGGGGACGACGACCTGGACCCATGACCACGGGCCCGGAGCACTCTGAGTGTCCAGGGGGATGATGACCACAGGACCCATGACCACGGGCCCGGAGCACTCTGAGTGTCCAGGGGGACGATGACCACAGGACCCATGACCACGGGCCCGGAGCACTGCGAGTCTGCAGAGGGACGATGACCACAGGGCCCATGACCACGGGCCCGGGGCACTGCGAGTGTCCAGGGGGACGACGACCTGGACCCATGACCACGGGCCCGGAGCTTGGCACGAGCTGAGGCGCAAGGCAGTGCTGGCATCCTGGCCGCCCGGCCCTGATGCCCAGGCCAGCCTTTCTCACCGCGATTTTCCTTTGCATCCGATATGGCCGCTTGGGTGTCCCCTTGAACATCACTCCTCACAGGCAAACACCCACGAAATCTTACGCTTTGACGGGCGAGGGCCCGCCGCGGTGGGCACTGCCCCGAGGGCCTCGCCCCTCTCGGTGTTCCTATGAAGTCAGCAGGCAGCGTGGCCGAGGACCCAAGCGCCGCGCCGGGCCAGGCCCTGGGGCACGAGGGCCACAGCTTCCACCCACGAGACGCTCTCCCGGAACGTGCCGCCGTCACCCACTTTCAAAGCAGACGGCGAGCCAGGTCCCAGCAACTGGAACCAACGACCTCAGCGGCAGTCATTGCTACGCATCTGGCCCCTCCTTTCGGCGCCTTCTCAAACAGCCTGCTGCCCTCTGACGGCTACCCCGACCACCCCTCAAACTGCCGGCGACTGCCGGTGCCCAGCAGCCAGTGGTCACCGAGCCACGGCGACTGTCATTACCCCGGAAGCCCACCGAGTGCCATTGACCCGTGTGTCACCCAGAATGGGTCTCATCAAGGCAGCATCTCTTTGATGAACTACAGAAACTTTGACCTGCGTGGTTCGGTGAACACACATTCTTGCCTGTTCTCCATTTGCAGGGCTGAGGCCCAGCTGAGATGCGCTGGGGTCTTCTCCCTGTCCCCATGTCACTGCTGAAATGGACCAAATGAGAACCTGCCTCACTTCATTCTCTCTTCCAGCAGATGCCAGCCTTTGGGGTACACAGGTAAACAATGGCCGGCACGCCTCCCTTTGGACCATCTCCAGCCTTCAAATTCACCAGATTCTTCTATATTGCAAGTGCCAGGGGTCTCTGCTGCCCTCCCCTTACATAGGACGCTTCGGCCATCTCTCCCCTGTCTGCCCGCCCTCGTGACCGTGATGCTGGTCTGTAAACGGTGCCAGGGCTGGGAACACCGACCGGGGCCTGGCCTCCGTCAGCGTGGTTCCCCTCCCCCAGCCCTTGATCTCCTCTGTCCTTCCACCCAAAGCTTATGTCCCTCTGAGAGGCCATTCCTTCTCACGGTCCCACCGCCACCTCGATGCTGGTCACCCACGTCTGGACGCGACGGCTACAACCTCACCTGCATTTCCGTTTCATCTCTCCCCAACTGCCTACCGGACTCCCCAGAACCCTGGGGTTCTGAGGGCGGGAGGGTCCGTGGGGTCTGCTGTCTCCGCTTTGCACGAAGGTCTTGGCAGCCTGGCAGGTCACGGTGCATTTTCACAGCTGCCTGGAAGGTCTTGGATCCGAATGCTGCACCTTGTCCTCCGTCACCCCGAGGCCCTGGCGGCAGCTTCTACCTCTGCAGTCAGCACACCCGCACTGACCTCACCATCCAAGCGCGTGTCCAAACAGCCTCCGCCAGCCCAGTTCCTTTTCTAGGCCACGGGCTTGATTTCCTTAGGGACCCGGACAGATCTGCCCACCCATTTCTCCTTCCCCCCATCTTGTCTCCTCTACGGAGACTGGAGGTCTCTCTACGGCCTTTCCCAAAAGCACTTATTTCCTGTCCTGTTGCCTGGATGTCTAGACCCGGACATCAGACCCAGGCTTCCCGCAGCCGCCCCTCAGTCACAGACGCAAACAAGCCTGCGTCCCGTCCCCTCTCGGGCCTTCAGACGTTGGGACGAGCAGTGTGGACAGAGCCTGCGTCTTCCGGGGGCTCCCACTGCGCGGGGAACAGGCAGCACACACATGGAAACAAGCAGCTCCGATCACCTCGGATACGGAGCGTGACGGCGCATGATGGGCGGGAGGGGCCATTCCGGCTAGGAAGGCCAGGGGGTGGCTGTCCGAGCAGTGATGTAAAACTCCAGGTAGGGCAAGAGTCCTGAGCTGGGCTTCTGGCCCCGGTTAAGAAGGAATGGACGCACTTCATCCCTTCTCTCCCACTGACAACAGCAAAAACATCTAGACAGAGCTCAGGAGCGAACTCTTGGAGGACACTAAGAAGTAGGTACTGGCAGGCGGGTGGACGGGGGGGCGGGACTTGATGACTGACTGCTACAGGGGGGTGAGTTCCATGGGATCTTCCCTCCCATCTTCCCAGCCGAGGGTCAGGGGAAGTCCTGATTCTGGAACTGCCCAGCGGACGGGTCATGCCCAGAAACGGAACTAGGAAGAGGACCCCAAAGGTCAAAGAATGTGAGGGGACCCCCTCTTTGTGTCTTTTTACTCTCCGAGCCTGATCCAAGGCAAGCCCAGTTAAGAGCTGCACTTTGTGGTGGCACCAGCAATAGCTGTGGGCAAACCACTCCCCACAGCTGAAAATCTCCTCTCCAGCCCGGGGCCGGGGAAGCAGTCCCTGTGCACGGCGGGGTGTGGGAGCGGTCCACATTGCTCCCTTCCCCGCCCTCCGTGCTGCCCTGGAGGTTCGCCCTGCCATGGAAGCACACAGCACAGAGAGGCTAAAACCTCAGACCTGAAGACCTGTTTTCCAGACAGAAGACCACAGCAACAACCACAACAGGAGAGGGGGTTTCTCGGGCTGAAGAGTGTGGGGAGAAAGCAGAGAGAGGGGAGAGGTGGGCGACGGGGTGCCGGATCAGTGCAGGAGGCTCCAGGCTGCCCTCTGCGTGCACATGTTTGAAATTAACCCAAAGTAGCAC